TACAAGAATTACTTAAATAGGCAATTTAGACTAAACTAGGTTTAATTTGGAAGTCATTTAAGTTACATTTGAGTCACATGTTTAGCACCAATGGTGGCTGAACATGTGCCACTCAAATTAACCCTAAATGATCCTTAAATTAAACATAGATGCACCCTAGTACCTAAACTCACGGCCAAGCACATGGGAGCCAAAATTTGAATTCAAATTTCAAGTTTGAATTCAAATTTTAGGCGCCACATGTAGGCTTGGATTTAGGCGCCAAAGTGTGCAATTTCGGATGCCTGCTTAAGTGCATATCACTCACTTTGTAATCACTTTTGATATATGAAATTTTTGAACATTTATTCAGCCAAATTTCTTCAAGAGTCACCGAGAGAGAGAGTGCCTTCAAACCCTAGGAACTTCACTTAGTTTTCTACCTTTGAAGTGAGCAATCCTTTGATGCTTAAGCTTGGATGCTTCCATCCATAGTTTAGGTCCTTTTGATCCGAGAATCTCCTTCATTCAATTCTTCTTCATTCGGTCTTCATTCTCCAAAGAAGATGTCCTAAGCAAAGGTGAAGTCAAGGAGGAGTTCTTCAATCATTCCTTCTAGCTTCTCCATCAATTTTGGTATCTAGAGCATGGTGCTTCATTGGACATAAGTGTTCTTGATTTTGACGGTTTGTTTTGTGTTCTTGTGTTCTTGTGTTCTTGTTGTCACAATTTGAGTTTCTTCTTGGATCTATAATTTTTGAAATCAAATTGTTCCATAGATCTAATTGATTGATTGCATTTTGATTTTCAATCCGCAATCAATGAAACTAGGATTCAACTTGTGCTATTGTTTTGTTTTGATTTGAGTTTTTCCATTCTTTGTTTAATTGTTTCGGTCATTGGAGTCATATGCATGTGTGGTCTTTGATTTTTGAATCTCAAGTTTTGCCTAGTCATGTACAATTTCTTAAAATGTCAATATCATTCAAGATGTGCTTGTAGTTTGTGCTGAAAATTTGAATTCTAATTTTGCTAAGTTTTGGCCGAGACTTACTTCTTCTAATTGTGCCTTGCTTGTGTGCTTTTTCTTTACATATTTGAGTTCATGTTCACTAGTAGATCATTGGTCAGCTCTTAATGTTAGGTTTCCATTGTGTACTTGAGTTTTCAAATTACTTTCCATAGTACTATTGAATCAATCTTTCGTAACTTGAAAATTTTAAGTGAATCATCTTACTTCTAGTGCACTATTTTGTTTTGGATTCAAATTTTAAAAGTTTGCTGGATGAAAAACAGAGAAAATACAGAGCAAAACAATTCAAAATAGTTATAAAAAAAAAAAGAAAACAAAAGAATCCAACCAAAAGTTTAAAAACTAGTGCACTAGTTCTTCAAATTTCACTTGAAATTCTTCATTCTAGTAGATCCGGTTTCTATACTTTGGAATTGTGAAAATTTTGAAATCAAAAGGCAAGTATCTTCTCTGGAATATATATTTGTATTCAGAAAAAGAAAAGAATTAAAATATATATATATATACATATATATATATATATATATATGTATGTATGAGTAAGTAAAAGCCGAGAAGAACAATTAAGAAAAATACACTTGAATTCCACAAATTAATTGGACTACTAATTTGTTTCTACTTGTTCAATTACTTCCATATATATATATATATAGTTATATATAATTATATATAATTTATAAATATACTTTTATATATTTATTTTTAGCTTTTTTAGTTAAAATGCAAAATAATATTGTCTTTTTATAATTTCATAAGTATTTTTAAGTTAAAAGTTTTTTCCTAATTCATATTTTAATTTCTTATACTTCAAAATGACAACTTATTATTTAAATTAATTCATTTCTTACGTTTTAATTTTTAATATTTTGATGAAAAAAATATTTTAGTTTCATAATTTTTTAATTATTTTTTTAGCAAAATATTTTTTATTTATACATAATTCTTAAATATAATAATTGTACAATAAAATTTTCTATTTTGAGAGGGATACATAATCCCTCACAGATTGTGATGGAATTTGTGATGGAATACAATTTTTAAAAATTTGTGTGAAATATTTAGAGAGGAATCAAAATCCATCACTAAATCCGTCGCAAATTTTTTTTTTATTAGTGACCCCGTTTGTGACGGAATTGTTAGAGACGAAAATTTTTCCGTCACAAACTCTAAAAATAAGTAGTCCGTCACGAAAATAAAATTTTCATCACAAAAGTCGTCACTATTAGTAACGACATTTTATCCGTCACAAATTTTCGTCACAAATTTTAATTTTTCTAGTAGTGTTGTTTATAAAAGAATACTCTATGTTGAAGCCTAGAAGACATTGTGTAAAAAGAATACTTAGGTAGTTGCTTGAAGAGACAAGTCAAAGAACACTTAGGGTTGAGTCAGAAGTTTCTTGGTAAAGAATACTTGTATCTTAGATAAGATAATGGAACTTGATCTAGTTGGATCAAGAATTGGACATAGTCTCAATGGTTCAGATAAATTAGTATAAAATTACTTTATGTTCTTTATGTTTACCTTTTCTTCTACACTGATGGAATCATGCTTAGGAAGGCAAGAGGTGACATCCTAAAAGATCCAAGAGGAGTGGGCTAGACATGGAGGTTTGGGCCAGTCAAGGCCCAATGGGCCCGATGGGCTTGGAAGGCCCAAGTTAAGCTCTACATGGGCCTATCTTGTGATATCCAATCTTCTTATGTTTTGCTAGTATGGTTTCCATATATTTTGGTCTTGTATTTTGGACCACATAGAGTAGCATTTTAGGTTTTAGGCTTGTTGGGCCTAGTTTTGGGCTTCATGGGCCTTTGGGCTTTTGGTACCCAATATTGGGCTCATTTTCATTCTTGTAATTTTTCCTTTCCATTGTATTTGATTGGCCATTGTATTTAGGCCATTAGAATATGATTGTACAAGAATTACTTAAATAGGCAATTTATACTAAAACTAGGTTTAATTTAGAAGTCATTTAAGTTACATTTGAGTCACATGTTTAACACCATTGGTGGCTGAATATGTGTCAGTCAAATTAACCCTAAATGATCCTCAAATTAAACTTAGATGCACCCTAGTACCTAAACTCACGGCCAAGCACATGGGAGCCAAATTTTGAATTCAAATTTCAAGTTTGAATTCAAATTTTAGGCGCCACATGTAGGCTTTGATTTAGGCGCCAATGTGTGCATTTCCAGATGCCTACTTAAGTGATCCTTCTCCTTATTGTAATCACTTTTTGATATATAGAATTTCTGAACATTTTCTTTAGCCAAATTCTTCAAAGAGTCATCGAGAGAGAGAGTGCCTTCAAACCCTAGGAACCTTGCTTAGTTTCCTACCATTGAAGTGAGCAATCTTTTGAGCCTTAAGCTTGGATACTTCCATCCTTAGTTTAGGCTTCTTCAATCCAAGTTCTACCTTCCAACAAGCCTCATTCATTCGGCTTATCCTCTCCAAAGAAGTGATCCTACGCAAGGTGAAGACAAGGAAGAAAGTCATCAATCATTTCTCCTATCTCCACCATCAATTTTGGTATCTAGAGCTCGGTTCCTCTTTGGAGATAAGTTTACTTGAATTTGACCGATTGTTTTTTTGTGTTTTGTGTTCTTGTTTATCACACATTGAGTTTCTATTCGGATCTATAAATTTTTGAAATCATTTTGTCCATAGATCCAATTGTTGATTGTATCTTGAGTTTCAATCCGCAATCAACACAAATAGGATTCAACTTGTGCTTGATTTTATTTTTGTTTGAGTCACTTCTTATTCTCCTTATTTTGATTCGGCTATCTCTTTGTGTATGCATGTGTTTGATTTTGATTTTTGAATCTTAGTTTGTCATGTCATGTTAGTCCTTTAAAATGTCAAAAATATTCAAGATATGCTTGTATTCATATGCTAAACACTTTTGAGTTCTTTATAGTTTGTGGCCGAGACTTGTTTGCTTTTAATTGTGCCTTGCTTGTTTGCTTTTCCATTTACATATTTGAGTTCATGTTCATCACTAGATCATTGGTGAACTCTTAGTGTTAGGTTTCCATTGTGTACTTGAGTTTTCAAATTCACTTTCCATATTATTCTTGAATTAATCTTTTGTATCTTGAAATTTTAAGTGAAATATCCTACTTCTAGTGCACTAATTGTTTTGGATTCAATCTCTAAAAGTTTGCTTGCTGAAAAACAGAGAAAATACAGAGCATAACAAATCAAAAGTGGTTAAAAAAAAAAGAACAAAAGAATCCAACAAAGTTTCAAATTATTGTGCACTAGTTCATCATTTTTTCACTTGAAATTGACTAATCTAGCAGATCCGGTTTCTATACTTTGGAATTGTGAAATTTTTTACATCAAAAGGAAAGTGTCTTCTCTGGAAAACAAATTTGAACTCAGAAAAACAAAAGAATTAAAAAAACATATATTAAAAAAATATAGCAAGGAAAAGTCAAGAAGAACAATTAAAATAAAACACATCTTATTCTACAAAGTAATTGGATTACTAGTTTGCTTCTACTTGTTTAATTTCTTCCAAATTTTTTTGGTTTTGTTAATCTACTCTAGTGCCTATCTAGGAACATTCCTAATTGTGTGCTAGCTTTCTTTGGAGTCTTAATTTTCAGCTTTCATTTTGGCTATCTTTGAGTCTTGTCTTAGACACTTTAATCTTCAATTTTTGGTATAAGCTTTTTAAAATTGTGCTTTTGTTGCTTGTCTAGTTTTCTTTGACTAAAAATTTTGTGCTGGAAGTGACCTCAAATCCTTGCTTAAGGACCAAACATTGACTCAACAATAGTAGGAAAGGAGTTGACACAAAAAGAACTTGAAATTTGACCTAATTTTAGTGATCGAAAAACTCCTAAATCTACATCACAAGAGTGATCT